GGGTCAGTCCAGATCCAGACTTTCAAGTCCAAATCCAGGCCGAAGTGCCTCAGCAGCAGTTGAATCTCATTGGGACTGTACTGGGACACATGCAATGAAGGGTCTGGGACGAAGGGAGAGGCTGAATTGAGCCAATGCAGACCCAGCGATGAGTGGCCAGCACTATAAAAAGAGCTGCCTGCCTCATTCCTCGCCAGATCTCCACTGGCTGCAATGCGTGGAAGTGCTGGTGCACTTGTGAGCTGAGTCAGGAGGAGCAGCGCTGGAGGAGAAGACGCGCTGGAGGGAGGAAGATGCCTGTACGCTGGAAGTGATGCAGCCATAGCTGCCCAGCGAGTTAGCATTAGTAGTAGAGGGTTAGTATGTAGCTATGAGTAGCATCCAGAGTAGATCCTCATGAGTATTGAAGAGTGTGTATGCATCATAGGAGGAAGGGATTGAGGCTGAGAGTGTTCATTCAAGGTTGGCTATGGAAGATACTTACCTGAGTTGGATGTGACCTGCAGAGGTGGCGCTGATGAGTGGTGACCACATTGATGACTTGGAGACTATCTGCAGGGGTGGCACTGAGTCACTGGAAGGCATATTGATGAGTTGGCAAGATATTGGTGTTGCGCTGATGAGCGCTGGACTCAGGGGAACTTTGAAACACTTTGTATTCATATTTCTGATAATATAAACTGTGAAACTCGGTCCTCATCTTCTCTATCTTTGTCTATTGTGAGACTACTGTTCATTGTGTGTGGGAGTACGATGCATGGCATGTACACAATTGCGTGGGATGGTCCCCAGGACCCATGCATTTTGGCCTGATAGTTTGTTCTGGTTGTTCCAGATGTTATGGCCTGCATTCCTGAGCTTGACACCTAACTACCTAGGAGTGCTACAGAGCCCTTAAACCACTGGTACATCTCCCAGGCAAACTTTAGCAACGAATGTGTCCACCACCGCATTCTCCGGAATGCTCGGCAGTGTAAAAAGAAAAAGAAAGCAACATGCCAGTTCATTTTGGAATCGGCAAGCAGCAGAAGAGTCCGCCACGGGAGGAACAACTTTTCAGAGGTGCTGGTGGTTTAAGGGCTGTTAGGGCAGTTAGAATCAGCAAGCAGCACTTAAATGGACATCAGTCTAGGTGCTATGATCTTTACATAGGTTATTCTGCCATGTGATGATTGGAAATGACCTTGAGAACACCTAAGTCTGGTTTCTTTCTGACTTGAAAGTCCTCTCCTGCATTCTTTGCCTTCGCCCATCCTTCACTTCCAAATGAGCGTGGCCGCTTGACGTTCCTCTCCTGCCGGCCGCAGTCTTTAAGTGCCCCTGCCATGCACATAGCCTTTGAAACTGCCCCGCCAGCGTTGCGAGCCCCTCCTTCACTATTGCCGCCTCCGTTGGTCGCATCTCCACTGCCCTCTTGGCCGCTTCCTTCCCCTCCTGGCTTCACCGTTGCGTTCCCATTACCATTACTCCAACCTGTGCTTCCCCCTGCAGCACCGCCCCCGCTGCCCCCCGTTCCAGAGCTGCCTTTCGATGGTGTTCTGCAAGTGATTTGCCTGTACTGGAAGCTCCCATCCTTGCCTTTGACCTGCACAATCCAGCAAACACACAACAACAGTATTTACAATTCTCATGACCAAACTTGTCTTCCAGTACTGCTGCCCATTTTCATGTTTTCTTCCTCATAAAACATGTCAAAAGCAGCACAAATAGGCGCATCAGGCGACAATGAGAATGGGCTACCAAGAAATATCGGATAGAAAATGGTTCTGGCAACTGCACACTACAGATAGTCTGGAACATGACCTGCAGGGTCCTGCACCTCCTTAGTGCAGGCAGCATCCAAGTGCACTCCAACGGTGCCAGGACGGCATTACAAATTTGGCAGAGATTGTTCTGAAATTCACCAGTGATAGATAGAGTAACTCTCACTCCTCCTTTTGGGTTCTCCTTTAGCGATGTGAAGTGACAAATGGCAGCCTCATATGGGCACAACCACAAGGGTCATCAATACTTGCATGCAAGAAACGATTTCCAGCTTCGCACAAAAATTTCGTTTCACCAAATCTGAACCGAGAACAACATTGTGACATCATATTATCACACACCCATGCAGGTCATCAACTATCGGTGCACAGCAAACAATCACCTCAAGCTACGTGCACACTGTGGCTCGATGGCAATCCGGGAAGGATTTGCCAGAAGCCGTGTAGAAGGGAATCCCATGGGCTCAAACCACCAGTACCTACCACATTTTTAGGTGTTAACGCGGTGGATCACGGTCGATGAATAGGCCTACCGCTCGAGTCTGCATTCATTCGCATCAGAGGGGCCTAAAAACCCGGTAGGTACTGGCGGTTTAATGGTTCCCGCATGACTTGGCCAGACACAAACCCTCAAAAATTCATCGCAGTCATTCCACATGCAATTTAGTCCCCAAAATATTGGCTATTACTATCGATTAACTAATCCACGAGGGTTCATATAACCATCATCATCCAACGTGCACCTTTTCGGAGACTGCTTGCTTGCATTCTGATTGTCAACAACATCATCATTATTATAAATTTTGCAAACCCTACCCTACCACTGCCATCCAGGGGATACAATATCTGCAGAGGCGACAGCAAGATAAAGAGTGACATTACTCTTTGATTCATATATGTGAGCACACCCACCCTGCAGATGAATCCACAGCCACACCGCTGCTCGCCATCAAAATCACAATCACCAGAACATATAACTGCACGTTCTGCTGCTCGCCATTACCTTCATCATTGCGGATCCAGCTTAGCTAGCGGTGATTATCATTCCAAGCCAACCAGGTACAAGGCCATCAGAAAGAGCACTCGATATCGTTCCAAGTCAACCAGGTACAAGGTCATCAGAAAAGGCACTCAATATCATCGAAATTGACACAACAGAGCGCTACAGAGAAGTGCACACCCATCTATCTGCAAGACGATCATTACACGGAAATCAGTGAGCCCATGGCTGTGGCACACAAGCAGACACATCGGCAGCAAACGAGAACCTGAAAGCCCAACCCCAACATGCGCCAGTCTCAGGGAATTCACCAACCTGACCCTTGAGTCCAAGCAGGCTAGGGCTGTCGCTTGCAGAGCAAGGCTGCTAGACACACAAGCAACAACGACGGATAATGGAACAGCAGTTAAATTCCCACACCGAGCCCCCAGAATCAACAACCCCAATCATGACACGCAAGCAAGCGCACACATAGGATGCTAGACATAGGGAGCCGTGCTGCGTAAATAGAAGTTCACATCATCGCCGGGACCCCCCTCCATATGGGCTGCAGCGCAACCTCCACACCAACTAGCTATACCCACTGTCCATCCACCTCCAGTACGCATATTAGAAGGTCCATAGTCAGCTCCACCACTGGACCCCTGTTGACAGACACTGACGTCAACATACTGAACAGCAGTGACTGCTCGAACAACCAATCCTTACGTGGTCATTAGATTCCATTACATGGCTTACTCCATGAATGCCATCATGATTGCCAAGGATTACATGGCTCACTCCATCAATGACATCATAATTGCCCGCACCATCCATATCATGGTGAGCGTCAGACCGTTGCTCATAGAGACCACAATTGACCCTAACTGGCAGATATCCTGGGATGTACGAGTCCTTCGCTGCAAGGTTAGCCAACATGTCTGTCATCACTATACAGACCAGTTTCATTAAGCTTTTGCAGCTTGCACCACGACATTTCACCAGTTTTCCAGTCCAATATTTGACTGATGATGACATCAACCATAAATCAAAACGGATTGGGTGCACATTAGCATAGCCTTGTATTCAGGTTACCCACAGTATGCTGTAGGGCTTTTCGACAGAATGTGCAAGGGCTATTCCACCCACTGTGCAAGGTAGACTAGACACCCAACAGGCGTACATATGGCCTGTACAGTAGCACCCGAGTATATCCTATTTTTAGGCAGAAACCGTGCAAACATATCCCCCAGAGTATTCAAACGTTCTGCATGACTCACCAGCATTGCATCTCTGTTGTGGTAGTTGTATGAAGGAGAAACCATCACAGGTCTCACAGTAGGTGCAACAGAAGCTGCCGGCTTGCCTGTCGACTCTTCCAAATCACCAGAAACACTGGATGCATCCGGTGTAGTAGGCGACTCACTCTGTCCAGGCACAGATGAGGCACCACAAGTCCCTTCTCCTTCCTTTTCTCTTGTTTGCTCTACGATGTCCGCTGTGCCCTGCTTATCTTCTGCCTTCACCCCCTTTTTTGACTCGCCATACTGCAGGAGGAGGAGGTTCCCTTCCTGTCCTTCTCCATTCCCTCCAGTTACATCAAGCTTTCTCCTCCTCTTCCTTAGGATAGAAGGGGTTGAGCAGAATGACTGAGCAGCAGAGCGAAGTTTTGACTGCGGACTTTGGCCAGCGAATGGTGAAAACGCCCCATACAGGAGAGGCGAGCACATTGCAGGCATGATCATCTGTGAAACTCCGAGGGGACTGAACGCTTTTCGAGAGACATCAGTCGGACTGCTGAGGTCATACTCGAGGAACGGAAGGTCCATTGGATTCAGCTTGGGAGGTTCGTAGAAAAGAACATCTTCATTACTGTCCCCTAGCTCAGCACAACCACCATCTGGCATGCTGTGGAGAATGTTCATGTACTTGTACTCTGTCACTACTTCGCTTGCAGCTCTCAGCAATTCATCGGTGCAAGCTTCATGATTATCATTTTGCCCACCAGTACTACTTGGTTCCCCACTTCCCTGATCCTCTACAGGCACCATTGCAGACGACACTGACACATCCAGTCTGCTGACAGGCCCCTCTGCACCAGTTGATGTCACGACCGCCACCTCTGCAGGCATTGTCATCGCTTGGTGCCCATTCTCAAAGTTGTCCTGAGCTCGCTGAGGCTGAGGTACACTCACCAACTGACCGATTCTTGACATTCCATATCCTAAGGACGAATCAATCCCTTGCGAATGAGCCATCCCCAACGACATTGACGACTGCCCACCGGAGGCCATCCGAGGGGGGAACTCTGTTCCCGACTTCATGGACATGGCGACCATCCCCAATCCATCCGATGACGTTCCTGTAGAGGTAGCTAAAGCTCGGATACCTTGCTGTCCTGCTGGGGAAGCGAAGGGACCAACAACAACATGATGATGGTGGTGGTGGTGGTGGTGGTGATGGCTACCCATGATCTGGTGCTGACCTTGTGCAACTCCTTGAGTTGGATGCAGAGTCATGACAGTATGGTATGGGCCTTGGATAGACGAAGGTGCCATACCTGAAGGAAAGCAAGTTGACTGGCTGGGAACGGCAGAATGTCCCATGGATGGGATTGTGGCAGACATCTGCAAGGGCCCAGATCCTGAAGGGCCGCCTGAAGGTGTAGGATACCCAGAAGATGCAGAGAAAGGCAAGCTTTTTGGAAGCGGTATAGCCATGGGAATGGATGGAAGTCCCATCCCCGAGATTGTGCCTGCCCCATTATGCAAGTAGCCAGTGAGAGACATGGCAGTTGGCACAGGGGCCTGAGGAATCTGCACCGCTGACAGAGCAATGCTTGATGCAGGAGCTGCAGAACCGCAGCAAGACGGGATAGGGGGAAGGAGAGCAGAAGAAGAAACATGTGGAACAGGTGGAGGCGGTACTGGAGGAGGGGGAGGGGGAGGCGGAGGCACAGGGGGCGGAGGAGGTGCGGGCGTGGCCGTGGAGAGATGATCATTGTTTATCTTAACTCCAGGTCTTAGTACGGGCACAGGCCGAGGAGGCCTTGAAATCACCTTGTTTGGCAACAACTCCTTCCGAACATTGTTCGGCTTCTTCAATCCACCATCCACACTAGCTGCATCTTCACTATCGTCTCCAGCTGACACAGCAGCATCACTCTTTCCTGGACAGCAATTTCCTCCAAACGCCACGCCATCTGTGGCACTTGTCTGCACACTGCAGGACGTCTTTTGAACCTGATTAGGACACAAAGCTTGGGCGGAGAAACGGTTCAGTGAGCTTGACTGCATACCACCACTGCCACCAATGACCATACTCAAAGAGGTAGTAGGATGATGCGCTTCAGCTCCAACCACACCTGCATTCTGCGACAAGACTTGAACTGGTTTCTGGATGCGAGAGCTCAAAGAAGATTCCACACCAAGGGATGAGGACGAGGAGACAGCTGCAACTCCCATCTGAACTGGATTACCCACAAGCGTGGCATCTGGATGACCATGGGTTGCTGCAAGCGCAACCGATATTGGGTCATCTGCATTAAAGACACCGGAGTCGACCCTCTTTTTCATTGTGCTATTCCAGTGATTTTTTATCGAATTATCCGTCCTGCAACATACAGTCCGTTCAAAGTCACCAAGCATGCAAATGGTGTGCATAAATTGCAATGGACTCTTCCCACCACCCCCAAGAACACCAAAATTGCCTATCGTTACCAAAATTTACAGCTCAAGATATCAAACTACCACTTCAAGGAATCAACTGGATACTTCGTTCACATTCAGGTTTCTCCTACTATCGGTTGCAGAGAAGTTTGGCCCCGATAAACGGCCCAAGACGTTGCTTGGTAAGAGTCCCAATGTGATTCTCAACGCCCCAGGGAACTTTCGCATGACATACCAACACGACGGAGCACACACACACACACACACACACACACACACAAACACAAACACACGCACATGCATGCATGCATGCAAACAGACACATGCAACATTCAGTACTTCCAATTTAGAAACAAATGAGCATGCCATAACTGTCCATCGTGTTGCAAAAAAAAAAAAAAAAAAACAGCCATTCACTAAACAGCATCACGGAAGCATAATAAATGCTCCAGTTCAGTCACTAAGCACACAGTCCAATCAGACTCTTCCATCAATCCATGCGATTATCGCATGTCCACAGGACTCCACATCAGCAAATCCACAAGAATCAAAGCTACTCACTTTCCCCCTATTCACTCGCAGCGACTCTTCTGGCCACTTACCTTCCTGGCAGGCACTTGGCAATTTCGGCCCACTTGTTTCCATACAAGAAATGTGCTCTGATGAGAGCCAAATCCTCCTCCTCTGTCCAGGCATCTCGCTTGATGTTCGGATTCAAGTGATTGTGCCATCTGCAATGTGTGGCCACGGCAAACACAGAATAGCATCTTAGCTTCCAACCCATGTGGCTGAATGGTAGACCCATGAGCTGTTGATATACAGACCTGAGTTTGAGTCCCAATGGGATTGCTTCGGGCTGGTCGCTCCCATGACGACACATCAAGGTCGTCGCCGTTATATTTTTAAACAAAAAAGAACAGTGTCTAGACATGTACAACAAAAAGAAAAAGAATACAGTTCTGGCAAGTTGACGGACCAAAGTTATTACAGCCACAACTGGGTTTGCTAGCAAGTATGCAGATAAAGACACTGAAGAGGGGGAAATCAAACGTCATAACACAAGACTAGGAAGCAACGGTGAGAGTAAAGATCCACTCGTTACTTAGCAGAGCAGAGGCTCAGCAATTTCAGTTTTTACTTTCGGGTAAAAGAAAGTGTGAGAACAGAACAAAAAAACGCACAAGGTTCAATTGACACGGCAGGAAGGGAGGGAGGATGGAGCGAAGAAGAACTCTCACCGTTCTCTGCATTGCTTGCCAATTCTTCCAGGGAGATTTTGCGCAATAACTGACCATTTCTTGGCACCATACTGATTTACCAACTGAATGATTCTTTCATCCTCCTGCACATTGTAATAGAGAACACAATGGATTTGAACCCACGAGGTGGGTCAGGTTTGGGAAGCAGGATGCATAGAACATCAAAGTGGAGTATGTATGTAGCAGAGAGTGGTGGTGAAAGTGAGGTACAAAGGCTGGGCGAGCAGGCAAGGAGTGGAACAGGGATTCTTCTTTTTTTTTAACCTTTCCTTCCTTTAAAGGAGATTGGACCATTTTGCAATTTATATGTCATCCTTTCACAGAGGTCATGATACTCTTCTCTGTGTCGTTCCAATTGTAACCAAGGTCCCGAAGGGCAGTTTCGAATTTTCCCTTTCCTTTCGATTATTCAAATTTCACATGAAGTCCTCCCTCTTCTCTCCCATTGTAAGAACACCTCTCCTTGCGGATTCGAACACGAGAAGTGATACTATGCACTTCTTGCTCTCCTGATGACATGCTACAATTGCACCTTTCCTTTGGATGAATCAAATTTCACATGAAGTCCTCCCTCTTCCGTCCCATTGTAAGAACACCTCTCCTTGCTGATTCGATCCACAAGAAGTGATACTAAGCACTTCTTATGACATGCCTGGCTCTAGAAATAATCGATGACAGCCTTCTTGGGTCCACAATTGCACAATGGGGGGCTAAGGGGGGAGAATTAGAAAGAGCTGAAAGAAAAGAAAAAAAAAATGACGAATCACCCCCCCTCAGCTCCCTCAGCAAACTGATGCAAAAGATTGGTAAACGATTTACTACTTGCCCTTTTTTTTCTTAAGCCACCACTACCTCCGGGCCTGTTTTTGCCGACCTTGATTTTCACTGCGCTCCGAGTTTTGCCGAGCCTGGGTCCCACTCCATTTCTTTATGGTACTCTCACGGGAAAAAAAAAAAAAAAAAAAAAAAAAAAAAAAAAAAAAAAAAAAAAAAAAAAAAAAAAAGAAGGCGTTGCTTTCACAAACGAACAAGCAGGGCGGTGCACCGACGAGGTCACAGCCACAACAAGAAAAAAAGAAAAAAGAAACTGCCCTTCGGACGTGATACCAGTCAAGTTCATTCTGCAAAGTAGTTGTGTATGCCCTCAGTGAGGGTGTTACAGCAGCCGTGTCAGGTCCATGACAAGAGAAGGGGGGGGTGGAAATTCGAAATTGAATTTAGGGGCAGAAAGTGGTTAGATACAATCTGCAAAGTAGTAGTGTGGGTATGCCCTCCATGCCAATGTTTCAGTACCCCGTGGACTGCGCCCTGCCATGCTGGCAGGGCCATAAAAAAAAAAAGGGACAAAAACAAAGACAAACAACAAAACCTGAAACTAGCCAGAAAAGCTATTACATACGTTCTAGTGAATTTCGATCTGCGCACAATGGCATTCACGGGACCTTCCCCGGTGTCTTTCCTCACGTTATCACCTCTTCTTTTCTTTTTCTTTTTTATTGAAAACATCTCCTTTTGGCCAAAACATCTCCTTTTGGCCGAGCCTAGTCCAGACCACCGGAAAATGCGGTGTGACCTATACTACCAGCCGGGCCGCCGGGGTCACCTTGTTTGCCCGGGTGGCCCAGCAGTGCAAGGACCAAAGGAGGTCCCAGCAAAAAACAATCAAAAAAATCTGGAAAAAAAAAAATGTTCTGCAGAAAAATAAACTGAACATTTTTTGCCTCAGGGTCACATCGAAATTCCTTGACCAATTTAAAATTTAAAAAAAAACTTATTTTATTTCATTTTTTATGTTTTTTTGGCCCGGCCGGGCAAGTGGTCCTGGGCCACTCTGGTAGCCTAGGGTGTGACGTATATTCCCATTTTCCCCAACACTGAGAAAGGTAGTGCTGGTTTAACAAAAACGACGCCTTTTGGCTCCGGCTCCATATCCATTCTGGGGAGCTTCAGTCCGGTTCCTATTCCACTTCCGCCGGGAAGTCAGAAACGTACAGTAGACTCACTCATAAGAACTCCCCACGTTACAGTCCAGGGAGCCCTGATAGTTGAATGTTTCCCACGGAAGGATTGACTGTCAATGGCTCGAATTCTGCCCATGTAAGGGACGCTGGACCCGTTTTCCAGCAGGTGCTGCTCCCCGCCAATAGATGGAGCTCCCCCCCAGTTGTTAGCGGTGTCTGCTCTTATCAGCACCACTAACACTGACGGGGGCGTGTGGTTTTAAAAATAATAATAAATAATAAAAAAAATAAAAAAAAGGATTGACTGTCAGTATGCCCATACTTCGAGTTCAAAAACCCCTTCCTCTCTTGCTTACCTCGCCCTCAAAAAGCATGCCAGAAACAGGCCAGTGCTCTCCCTCTCAGTTGGCCTCTAGGCGGCTGCCTAATAACATAGAAATATATTACAATATATATTGTTATATATCGTCAAATAGAATTATATATATTGTAATTAGTTAATATATAGTTCACATATCTAGTTAATATATATCATATAAAATATAGAATAATCTATTCCAATCTAGAATAATCTATTCTAAACCCTACCGGTAGAGGCTGCTGCCTGATAAAATCTTAAGCCCTAGGAGGGCTCTTGGTCACTCACTGTGTGGCCCATGCCCAGCCAGATCCCGTCCTCGCTCGCTCATACCCAGATTTGATATTCCATGTACCGTGCGCTCGTTCGTATTCAAACTTTCACCCCGTAGCGACGGTGATACTTGCATTTCCTGAGAGACTGTGGAGTGCCTGAACCTCTCCAACTTGGCTTCCACTTACTCCTCCACCGTCAGCTAACGTCCACTTCAATGTAATCATGCTCCCCTCTAGGACACCCAGCTTGCCTCCCCCCAGTGTCCTTCACAAACTTGTCGGTGATCTCCTGCTTCGTTTCGGGATTTTTCATGATTTGCCTCCTTTCCCTATGACAGTCTGCAACGTAGTTGATTCCCAGCATTCTGTTTCAGCCCCTCCTATGCTACTTACAGGGGGGGACCTGGTGTCTGTCTATTGTCTCCTCGCATCTCCTTTTCCAGATCGTCCAGAGTGTCAGGGGTCTTATTCTCCTGTAGAACTTACGTTCCCACTTTCTGAGCCCCTTGGATGCTACGAAACCCATGAGTCTGTTTTGATGCTGTCCTCAACCATTCCTTGGCCGGTGATGACCCTCCATAGTTCCGGGGCTTTGGCCCACAGCTGTTCTGCTTTTGGGCATGGGGAGCATGCAGTGGTTAATGTCCTCTCTCCCCCCTCTCGCATATTGTGCAGAGCTCTTGGTCCTTGCTCCTGTTACCCCTTGACCCTGGAGTTCTAGTGCTCTTCCTCAATTTGTAGACTGCAAAAGATGTGCCACGCCACCCGCTGCCGTCAAATAACCCGTCTTTGCCTTCGGATCATTGGATACAACCCCGTCCGTCCGTCCGTGGAAATCAACATGAAGTTCCAGTGCTCTTCCTCAATTTGTGGGCTGCAAAAGATATGTCTTGCCATCTGCTGCCCTCAAAAAAGCAACCCCATCTCTGCCTTAGGATATTGAATATGACCTCGTCATTCCCTCCGTGAGAACCAACATCAAAGTTGGAAATCCCAAAAAAGCTAGCCCTAAGCAGCCAACCAGTGTGCCAGAGCCCTAGAAAGCGGGGGCCCACCCTATATTTAACAACGTGAAAGGGTTTCACGCTGTACCGGAGTCCCAGGTCCCCATCCCAACTCCCAGGTCCCAGTCCCAAGTCCCAAGTCCCAGGTCCCAGTCCCAGGTCCCAGTCCCAAGACCCAGGTCCCAGTCTTGAGTCTCAGGTTCTAGACCCGAATCCCATTTTGTGTTCTATTAGTGGTTCCAGCCACTTGTAAAATGTGCATGAATACTCTAGAAGAGTAGTTTTCATTTGTACCATGATTGCAGAGGCTTAGGCGAGCTAGTATATCATGATAGGAAGTCCCTGGTAGATAACAGTTATGGGTTGTAGAGTCTGTCTTTAGGAGGCACCACAACTTCAGCCAGGAACACCAAAGCCGTTAGGCCAGGTGTCAGTCGATTCATGTAAGCAGTCAACCCAAGAAAGTCCGTGAGCTTCCGGAGGCAGGGAACAAAGGCAAGCAGGCCAACCCATAACCGGCGGATCAGCAAGTATAAAAGCCCAGCAGCACCAACCAGCGGGATCAACTATTCATGCGCAAATTCCGGAAGCGCACAGTGAGACATAGATGGAAGGGGGCGCTAGAGGAGCAAGTGCTCAGTGAGGAAGGAGACGTCTGGTTACTATGGCTAGGGAGGAGGAAGAAGACGGCCATAGCCGCAGAGGTTCGGAGGAGTACATCGCAGCTGTATTCAGGGTGGATCCACAAGGGACAGGGACAGCATGAGTGTGACAGGGAGGTTGAGCGATACAAGACATGAGAGAGAGAGGGAGAGTCACACATGAGGGAGAGGGAAACCAGTTACATACCTGATTCGTACTTGGTTGGTGTGCGGCAGGTGCTGCTGGAGGAGACAAACAATTTATTTGTATGATACAATAATTTGGTGTGGTTTTCAGTGAGCGACTTTGGTTTTCATCTCTAGGTGTCCAGTGTGACTTCTCACATAAATGTTCTACTGCGTGTGGTGTGTGATTGCATGCTGATTGGGAGTTGAATCATTGCATAAGGTAAAGAACAAATAAAAGAGTTCCAAAAGCTTTCTGGAATGATTTGCCCTAGAAGAATGAGATAAAAGAATGTGTGACTTTCCTAGTCAAGAGTCAAGACTAGATTCGGTGCGCAGTCCCCTTGTCCTGCTGTCTTCATTACTTCGCCTGCACAGACTCTGCTGGCTCGACACACAATCTGCACGTTGTTTTGCAGGCCCAATATGTTAGTCGAGAGAAAACACTAGACTCAGTGCCCCCCCTTTGTCCTGTCCTGTTCATTACTTCAGCCTGCACAGAATCTGTTGGCTCTTCACAGAGTCGGCAAGTTGTTTTGCAGCCCCAATATTTGGACCAACCATCTCCGATGGTCCTTGACTAGAGTTAAACAATGGTATCTGAAACTGTGTTAGTCCCCGGGCGGCCCGGCTGAGGGAAGGTCGCCCGGGTACCCTC